AGGATTAAAGTGCAATATCACATTCAAAGATCAAGGTTGAGCAAATTTTATTCAAAATAAAGATGATCTTATTATTTCAAAAATAACGTAGGAAAAGTGACTTTATCTTGTTGCTCAAGTTAAATTAAACCATTTGCAAATAATCGAGCAATTTATTTGAGCTAGTTCATTAAAATAAAATAACATATAATCTCAGTACAAGGTGATGCTTTATCTGGAATGGAATTTTTATACGTAATATTAAATAAAGTAAGCGATAAACTACTTGTTAGTAGTTACTTCGATGACAACGACTTTGTTTACTCTTATTGTTAGATATGTATGTCTGAAGTGATGTAGATATAGAAATAGAAATTTTGTATCTCTGACAATGTCTGTACAATAAAATTAAATGTTATCCGAAAAATTGTTGTTACAAGAGATAATTTCCAGATAACATCGAGTCAAATAAGACAATGTATTATTTAAATAATCATTCTTCAAATATTTTATTCAAATAATCTCTGATAGAACGATATTGCAGATACAAACAATGATCGGATTCCTAATGCGCGTTTTCAGATAAAAGCATATCTTAATAATTTTTCAATTAAAATATTTACACCTCGACGTAATCACTTAGAAGGGGTTAAATTGAGCAAATTTACATTGTTAATGGAAGTTCTATCGGATAGTGATAGCAAAGAAAACTGTAATAACAAGCTCTGTCGCGTAATATTATTATTAATATATCATCAAATTACATGTACAGACTTCAGATCTCAGATCTCAGTTGTGTTCAATAAAACAAAAGATCGCATATCAAGTTTTAGAGGGTCGTTGTAAAAGGAAGGTAAACGTTAAATTTTTAAATCCATAGCAGATTCAGTCATGAAGAAAGTGTCTCAATATTTTTGCACACCATAATTCGTAATATCTTTTAAAAGAAAAGTATCTTCATTTCTCCATCCGCTAAATGATGTAAAAATCATGTCGCGTGCTTAATGTAATTCTAATAGTAGATGACAAAGGAACTTTGAACACTTGGAAATTTTAATTGAACCTTATTGAATCAGAAAATGAAGTCTTTGTTTTGAAAAAAAAAAAACTTATTTGGCTTTGACGGGACAAGAAGATTTCTCGGAAATATGCGATTGTCCGATCTTACTCTATAGGTTTTACCCTACTTTTTTCGCCTAAAAACGGCATACAACGGAAAAATGTAAGAATAGCGTTTCACTTTCATGAAGAAATTAACCCGGTTTGTCGATAATTCTGTAGAACGTGCTACGTGATTCGATATTAACGGTAGATCGTTGCACGCGCGCGATCGTGTCCTTTTTTGAACGTACGGAAGAAAGAGAAAAATTTTGCTCGACCTAATTTTAAAGCTTTTGAAAGTTCGGCAGAGGGTCAATTATAAATACCGTTTCGCTTAGTGCTTAAGTCGGTTGAATTTTAAAGCTGTCCAGCCTTTCACGCTTTTCATCACGCTTTTCACGCTTTTTGAGCATCGTTTGCTCTGTCTCGGGCAAAAGAACTCGATCCAAGTCTATTATGTGCAAGAAGAATATTTGGGGACCGTTGAGGAGAGCGTAGTGGAACTATCGAAATTGTCGTTTGATAGAGATATAAGAAACGTGCGACACACAGACTGTGGTTTTATATAAAATAATGGAAAGAATTAGCCGACAACTGACACGTTTAATTAACTGCTATTATCAGAATGAAAACTGTCGTGTAGGATAGATAACAATTATTTTTTTGATAAAAATATTGTTAGGAATAACGATTTTAAGTCTACTACGAATTTTTATGTATTTATGGAAAATTTTTAAGAAATTACATTCAGTTACACGTGATGTTGCACATGAAATATATAAAATATTCATAGCATAATATTTAATACGTAAAAGAATTTTCCTTGAAAGTTTTGTATGAAAGTTATACAAAATGCACGAAAATATATAAAATATGTATAATACAGTTATCTGTTATAATACCTCTGCCTAGGTTTTACTTTTTAAATTATTCTCGCGAAAATATGAATTTGCATAAAAATCCACAACTTACTCATAATTGTTACTTGAAATTTTTCAATCATGTGATTAATATCCTTAATTTAACGAACTTACTGTTACTAATATTTTTCATAAGAATTTTTGCGATAACTTATTATTTATTATATAACTTGTTATTTATTTTATTTTGTGATAACTTATTTTTAGTCTCTGAGAGACACCAGCCAAGTATGTTTGTTTTTTCAAATGTATTGCTCTTCAGTATTTTATTAAATCAGTTATCAAGCAATCAATTCTTATGCGATTGAAGTTTGAAACTTCGTAAACTTTGAATGATTTGGAAAAGCGTTTATCTTATCTCGTCCTGTCTACTCGCTGAATTATTATTATTCACACAATAATCGATCATTAACCGGATCGTTGAGTTTCTATGCGCTTGGTTAAACGTTGTTACGATCACGGCGTAGAAAGGTGAATAATGAACCAACATCCGCTATAGCAATCGAGCAGGAGAACCTTTTGTTTAGCGAGAGTGATTTTAATTGAAAGATTAATAATTAGGATGGTTATTTAAAAAACCATTCGAAACTACATAGAGCAGTTTCTAAACTTTTATGGACCGAGATCCTTAATAAGTATAAATGAGTTAATAAGTATAAAATGGTGAAAATAATTTTTCCGGGTATATTATAATATATGTTATTAACTCTTATGTACTATGCTTATTCTGGCAATGCATGTTGATGGCGATATCATATGCCAAAAAAATACAATCAATAAAATTTCATGCCAAATACCATTTAAATACAGCGATTATTTCCAATAAAACTTGTAAAAATAAAAGGAAGCATTTTTTCAGTGAATTTAATTCTTTTTAGTATTTTTTTTCTAGTTTTACAAGATTTACAAATTTTTTTGTATAATTTGTTTTGATATTAGAGCTCACAAATAGAAATAAACTAATATGAATATTATGCTGTATCTAGCATTTTATTTGATATGATATTTTCTTCGTAAATAAATATTTTTTTCATAAATAAATTACTGATAGGCGATGTAAGAAATGTATAATGTATCTAAGGGCAAATGAATTAATTTGACTAGACTGTGTGATATAATAAATCGTAAGGAATAACGATTAAAATGCGTTGTTGACATGTTCTCGGGTAAGTACCGCCTAATCGACGTTTCGTCATAGGAAAAACCAATCTGTTTGTGTATGTGCATAATAATCGAGCAATTATGCGTGTCTTTCACTATGAAATCAAATTATTTACGGTAGAAACAGAAGGGAAGAAAGGAGGGTGAGAGGAACAGGCTATAAAGAAACAAATACGTGGTTGTAAGGATCATTACTACATATTTTTTTTTTTTTTTTATAAAACTCAATAGGGGGAAAAAGACTGAAATAGTATGTGAGAGATACCAATTGTGAGCTGTAACATTTTACACACTTTGTAATATAAAATGTTGTAGACCAGGTCTTATTTAATCCTTTATGTCTAAATTTAAGTTACCTATGACAGTTTTATTAAAGTTTTGCGACATTTTCGATGATTTTTGACATATTACAAACATAACAGAAGAGAAAAATAATTCTAATTTCTAATAATTTCATATGCAATAGAAACTCCCTTTTTTCGAATATTTTAATATTTGAATCAGAGTAAAGAACATCTGCTAATGGCGGATGATCTTTTAATTACTAATAAATATTCTCTTCTAATAATTTGACATAAGAATATTAAGATGTTTGAAAAATAAAAATTTACATAAAGAAGATTCTACTGTATTACATTTACGAAAATGATGAGACATATTTTCGTGCCATCTTCCAGTAATCAGCTAATGTTACATGTTTTTTTGAGTATTATGAGGAGTTGTATTGAAATAATACACGTACATATATAAAATGGTGTTTTTGAAAACTACCAAAGAAATAAGAACGGAAAAGAATCGCTGGTATTGTTTACTTATTGTTAGACAAACATAATCAAAAGAGATGATATATCGTTGCGATACAACTGTTTGCTTGTGAGAAAATTGAGAGTTGTTTGCTCGAAATCAAATCGAAGAAGTTTCAGCTGTCCTCCACGAACATGGAGGACTCGTTTGAAAGAACGACACCGAATCGCAAAGAAATTGATCGTCGCGTTATTTATTCTCAGCTTGTCCTCGACGAGCACCAACTCCCCTTCTGTGTACAAAGTGGGAAACGTGTGCAAACGAGAGGAGCAAAAAAAAAGTCGTATTTTTAATATCCATGTCGCGCACGATACTCTGTTTCCTCGTTAATGCATTAATATGATACGATATTTGCATTTAATTGACGATATGCAGTGAGAAGCCTAATTGAATCAATAACGACGAAGAATTATCGATATTTTAAATTATTAAAACTTGATGAGAAATAATCATGTAACAATTCGAATTATTTTAAAATATAAAGCTTCTGAACAAGAATACATTTAGTTTCGGAAATTGCAAAAATTCAAACGTCTCCAAAATGTTGGAAAATTTAGTCTTGAAATAGAAGTCTTTCCTTTATAACAAAATTTTGGGATTTCGTAAATTTTTGTTGTTTAATATTGTTTAATAATATTTAAAATTCAATAAAATGACGAAAAAATATTATACAGCAAGTTACTATAGGACCATGGTGGATCTAATTATGAAAAAAAATTTTTCATTGCTTTTAGAGACATTTGAATTTTTGACACTCATTTTTCTACTCTACACGAAGTGAAAATATCTTACAATCAGAAAAAAAAGAAAAAAGAACTATAGATTGAAAAAATAGAGACTTTGTATTTTGAATGAGACCGAATGGATTGTTATGTGATATAACAGTTTAAAATATCGACAATTTTTCATCGTTATTGGTTCAAGCATACTCTTTACGAAATTTGAACAAGAGAGAAAAAAAAGAGAGAGAGAGATCAGAACAGGCAAAAATTGGCAAAGCATTGCCCTGCTCGAATAAATGTATTTTTTTCAAAGGTATCTTGGCATGGAGCGAAGAAACGTAATTCTAACAGCAATTTTTGGAACAGTAGGAGGTCTAGCGATATTGGTGGTTTTCGGTATGGCAGCGTGGCTTTATCTTCGAGCGAAAAAATCCAAACAGGACAACGATCTCGAACCACAGAATGAACATGGGGACAGTTTCAACGATGGAAAATCACCGAAGAGAAATGGTCTTTTAACTCTCAAGACACCTTTAATCAGTACAAAATCTTTTGGGTAAGCTCAAATGTCAGTTTATTGGCTTTATATTCTTTTTATTCGATCAAATATAACGATACACTTTCTTTAAAAGAAAAATGATAACTTGGCAGACGAGTAACGGATTATAATACGGAAATTATGTTTCAGACTGATAAAACGTAATTTGATTAATGATTGTAAGATTTTAATTAACGTGATATCAGGCTATTAATCATAATTACTTATCATTAAATGATCGATAATCATTGATTGGACAGTTAATCAAGATCGTTATGATCAAAGACGATGATTATATATTATAGAAATGATGAATCATAAAATGAAGTTTCAATTATGCTTTATTGAATACTTCTCAATTGTAATATATTTTTTATGTTTCAAAATACTTTTTTTCATGATAAAAACACTTGTAAAAGATTAGATAATTTTTATCAAATTCGCCGTGTAGTCACAGACGAGGTATATGAATTCACATTAAAAATTAAAAATACTAGTTGGTAAGGCAGAGTTATTTCCGTTTATCTCTGTTACCGACTGAGTAAGTAATTTGACCACGGACTGATGAAGTATTTGACTATTTGACCGACCACCTAGCCAGCGAACTGTCGAAAAAAGGTGATTTTACCGACACTAGAGAAATCCGTGTTTATTCATTTTGTTTGATTACATGAGTATCGATTGATTTTTATTAGCGTACAATATATGTACAAATTTACTTTTCTCTCTTTTCTTTCTTACTCCATTTTCGATATTCCAGTATTGTTAAATTTTCAAAGGATAATTAAATCTGTCCGAGCATAACGCGCGCGCGTTTGAATAAATCGACATATTCGAAATAATATTATTTCAAATATGAATATTGTATTTTTAAATAAATTTAATCGACAAACTCAAATTGTACGCCTTTATTTAATTACGAAAACGAAAAGGGCAATTGAAAAAAAGAAGAACGAAAAATGAAAGAGAGAATAATAATACATCTAACAGACGTAGCAATAGCAAGTGATGCAAATATTATACCAAAGGAACAGGATAAAATTATAAAATACATACCAGTAGTAATAGAATTAAGAGCTCTAGGCATTGTAATTACATCAATGTCAGTCACAAGAATCACACCGCAATATTCACCAGGATTCACTAAGAATCTAAAACTATTGGACTTACGAACAGACATGCACACGAACATAGAATAGTCAGAAAATTTCTGCACCAGTTACATACGTAACTTAGTCACTTCAGGGAGAAACCCAGTATGACTCACAAAATGAATTTAACTCATAAAGAAACATAATTTCCATTCATCTATCCGTATTATCCATACATTTCCTGCTTCTACCTATCTCTTTTCTTTTCTTTCAGCTTTCTTGAACATTCTATCACCCTTTTATTATTTATTCCCTCTACTATTTCTATATTTCTTATACTCTCAACTTTAGTTGCTTTACATAGTGCTTCAATTCTCTCAACCTAGTTTACAGAAAATACATCTCCTCTTTTCCCTTTTTACCCAATATTTATTTGCTCCTTTTAAGCTACCATATCTCGTAAATAATAATCTTTTTCAAATATATATTGCGTTAACGTGTATGTTTATAAAAAAAAGAAACAGAAGAAAATATAATCGGACTAAATATAAAGCAACTTACAAACGTTTATCATTGTCTCGATCGATCGCTTCGGTTTCGTATTGGTTTTGCCATTGTCGTTAATAGGAACGGTCGAGTACCTACTAGTTGACTATCGAAACTCGTGAACTTGATCGACCGACAAACTTGGAAAAAATCGCAAACGAGGAGAAATTGAAGGAGATAGTGCGCTATAAATTCCGTAATTCCCAACAAGGCGCCAATTGGAAACTTGCCAAATAGTCCGATGTTTCGCAGCACTTAAATCGGCGGAATGCAACAGATATCCCACTTGTTACGTTGCATACTACATACATAACTACTGTCTTCTGTTGGGATTCATACAGTAACTACCATCTTTATTTTGCTTGCTTCGTAAAAAGAAGAAAAAAAAGATCAATTTCCAGTATAGATACAGTTCATTTGATTCTCCTTAAAAGCTTCCATCGCGAAAGATCCTCGCCCGATATTACTCGTCACGATTCCTTGCGATGTAAAGCGAATAAAGGGAAATGGAAATTTGACCTTGTCCTTGTGTCGCTGGTAGTCAATTGTTCGGCAGTCTCTCTGCCAGATGGGTAAATTAAAGCGTCGTAAAACTAATTTACGTCATAACTTCGTCTTTCGTGTCAGTTATTTAAACCGCGCTGCGTCTTAACGATTCAAATATTCTTACTTACTTAAAAAATGCGTCGAGAAATAATCACGCGAATGAATGAGTTACGCAACGCTGGCAAATCTTCGTCGAAAACAATGAAATTTCGAGAGCAGAAGAGAAAATAACGTAGCGTAGAATGTCTCCGACAACATCGTGGCTGAATAAACAACGAAAAGAGATATTAATAAAGGGATTACCGAGTTTGCTGAAGTTTGAGAGAAAGAAACCAAGAGATAAAGAGATAAAACTCGAAAAGGACGGTAGAGTGGAAAAGGGACGAGACTGGACGAAAGAAAGAACCGCGGAACGTGCTCGAAGGGATGATACGAAGAGAAAAGAAGCGCACGCGACAGATGGGCGGTAGGGGCATGGAGAAGTAAGTGGTAAAGCAAGGGCATACGTCGGCCGAAATAGTATAGTACAGTACAGGACCGGTCGGTAAAGGGTAGTTAGTAGAGAAGGAGTACGGCAGGCACCAGCGGTAGGATGGTGGGTGGAATGGTGGGTAACGATGGAGCAAGGGATGCGCCGAGGAAGGAAGCACTGCGATAGAAAGAGGGAGAGATAGTATAACAGATATATGTACATATGTATAAGCAAGCGATCCTGGGAAGAGAGTAGGAGGGGAAGCAAAGGTCCAGGAAGAGTTGAGTGGAGAGAGTGTGGATGATTGTGGTGCGGGAACGAGGCGGGAGAGATCGGAGTGGGACACACGGGGTGGTAGAAGCGAAACGGGAGGAACGAGGGCAGTGGTAGGAGAAGGAGGCAGAGGTGGTGATGAGGAATGGGGGTAGGAGATGAGAGGGGATGGTTGGGAGAAAGGACGAGGGTGGGGGTTGGTCATAGGGGTAACGGTAGGATTCCGGGGGTTGAAAGCAGCTGAGAGCAGTGTACGAGTAGGTCATACCACAGAGGAGAAAGGTAGTTCGTGTTTAGCAAACGGCTCGTCCGTTCAGTTGGACGAAACGTACAATAGTCGTTGGATCGGTTCTCTCTGCATTTTTCATTCGTATCTTTTTTTCAAGAGTATCTCATCCCTGATATCGATTGTCATTTATCCTTGTTAGTGTTATTATCGTCGTGGTCGTCGTTGTCGTGGTTATCGTCGTCGTTGTCGTCGTCGTCGTCGTCATCGTCGTCATCGTCGTTATCCTCATCGTCCTCCGTGTCATCCTCCTCGACGTCCTTGTCCTTGTTATCATCGTCCTTGTCCTTGTTCCCTGGAGGACGTTATCGAGGATCGAAGGAAATGGACACTCATATCGAAGAGCAATGGCTGAACATCTTTACCGTGTAACGAAGAATTCAGAGTGATTTGATCGATTAAAAGTACGAGTCACGGTGCGTCGATTTTCACTGGTTTTCGAAATAATCCGGGACCTCGAAAGGACGTTAAAGTCAAATCGGTTGTTTCTCTTCTTCTTTTCTTTTCTTTTTTTTTTTTCCGTCGAGGCAAGAAGTCGCGTGTCAGTCAACCTTTTTGAAGAATTTTCTTTCCGTTATTGGCCAACGACGCGAATAATCTTTTTTTTTCTTTCCGCTCTCATTCTCCCACCACATTCTCCCCCATCTCCTCCATTTCCTCCTTCTCTTCCTTTTCTATCTCCTTCTCCCTTTCCACACCGTCCTGTTGGATTCGTCGAAAACCAGATGAGTGTATATCGTGTTTTCACCATGCAACTCTCGCATTCGATCGTCCGACCTTCGGTCCAACTGGTCGAATTTGCTTTAATCTTTTGATCGGATCGCATCGGATCGTGGCGAGATCGAAACGGTTGTCAGACGGCCAACGAATCGAGAAACGAAGAGTCGCACGGAACAGGAAAGAATTGCATTCCGTGCAATCTTTTACGGATTTTTTCTTGAAAACCAGTGGAACACGGTGAAAAACTAGTTGTACGTCCCAAGATATTTTCAATTTTAAAGACAGGACAGGGAAAAGAAGAGAAACGAAGCAGCGAAAAGGAAGGGACGAACAAGTGGAGAGAAGCAGAATAGAAGAAAGGAAATAAAAGAGAAACGAGTGAAAAGGAAGCGGAGAAGAAGAGCGTAGAAAGAGAGGAGAGAAGCCAGTGGAGAGAAAAATGAAGTAGAAGAAGAAGACGGGAAAAAGTTTGACAAATTACGAAGTTCCATTGGCAAAAGGAAGAAAATACTTCTCTGTATTTGTTCTAGCGAGAAACAAAGTCGTATTCGTTGCGAGTTATGAGCTTGTAACGCGTTGGCAATAACGTTGAATTATAAACTCGCGATTGTATATCATTGATTGTTAATTGTCGTACGCGTTAATTAATCCAATTGTCGACACGTTGTCGCCCGCACGGTTCTGATTTCGAATTTGTTCATTAATTCGTCGAAAGTGGGTGAACGTGAGAGATTTGGACAGCGGTATAATTCTTCTAATCGACACATCGCGTCGATTTATCGTATACATTTAAAAGGATATCTCAAGAATATCGAATAGTTAAGTCGGTGAATTAATTCGATACTTTAAATCGGCTGATTCGAAATATCCTTAATTCTATAGAGCGTGGGTCAGTTGCTCGTTGAAAAGCCACGTTGCGTGTCTCGATCAAATCGTCGTTTCCGTCTGAAGCGAACAACCGTTTCACGCGGTTCACATGTAAATTGTTGCGAATTTGATCGTCATTTTTCCCCATCGTTCCTTTCTGATAAGGAACGGTGTACTTTGAAGAAAAAAAAAAAAAAAAAAAAAAAAAAAGAAAAAAAGGAAAAAAAATGGATAGCGGACAGAGTATTGAAACGAACGCTGCAATATCGCGGATTTGGATAGTGATTGTTGGGAACGACAGTGATCGTTCGGTTATTACTGCGCCGCACGTTGAAACGAACGGGGGAGAGTAGGAAATTAAACGAACGCCAGTACGGCCGGTCATAACAAAGCCAGTATGTTTGTACATAAAAATGTCCACGAATGTACTCGTGTATTTTTAATCCTTTGGCTACTAAGGACGCTTTTAAAATTTGCTCTCGTGGCGTCTACAGGCGCTTAGCCACTTGCGCTGGCAACTGACTGCGGACCATAACGAGTGACCAAACCGTATACAACAATATATCACGATATCACCGGATAGAAATTATTGAGTGGTAATAAACTGATTATCTGTTTTGCCTGGGTTGTGCTTAAATATACTTAAAAACTGAGGAAATATTGTAATTTCGAAACAAAAAATTGTCGACGTGTGTGACACGTCATTCCAGCGCAAGAGGTTAACCACCGCGGACCATAACGAGTGACCAAACCGTATACAGCAATATATCACGATATCACTGGATAGAAATTATTGAGAGGCAATAAATTTATTATTTGTTTTGCCTGCGTTATACCTAAGTATACTTAAAACTGAGAGAACATTGCAATTTTAGGACAAGAAATTCTCGACGTGCGTAGCATGTCATTCCAGCGCAAGAGGTTAATTTACTTCGGTTGAAACGAGATAGAGGTCTTTATAAACGCTCACTTCACACTGCTCGAAGAAGTCTGGCAAATGTTATCGAAAATAATTGCAGCAAATTTCACTTGAATCAGACAATTTTAATTCAACAATTACATATTTTGTCATGTATTATTTAAACGTGATTATTACACGATTATTTCACCGAATTATTGTTTGTATTATTTCATGTAAATATTGACAATTATTGCAGCAAACTTCACGTAGGATCAGATGAAGTGAATTCTATTTCAACAATTACACCTTCCGTTTGTCGTATATTATTTAACGTGATTATTTTACAGTTATTTCACGTATTATTATTTATATTATTTCACGTAAATGTTATTACAATAATTTCAACAAACTTCACGTTGGATCAGATTCAGTGAATTCTAAATCAACGATTACATCTTCTATTAGTCATACGTTATTTAAACGTGATTATTTTACAGTCATTTCATTTAATACCCATAAAATGAAAAGATGTGGTAATAAATTCATCGCAAAAAGGTATATAATGTGGAAAACAGAACAGTGGCGACGCCATTGGCAGAAGAAGATCGAAGAAAATAAAACAGTAATAACTATATCAAAAATTCAGTCATAAAAAGGACGTCGAAGCACTTGGGAAGTCATATCGTTTTATATAAATCGAATAAATAATAGTTGTTGCGTCGATATTAAATCTCGTAATATTTATTAATTAAAACGATGCGTGCATCATTGGTCGAGGATCGTGCGTACAAATTTTCGTTCGCTGTGTCGCGGATGCCGAAAGTAAGATCACTCTCGACGAGAAGCGGCTTCTCCCATGTTTTTCCTACATTTCGCGTAAGCTCGACGAATCTCCGGCCTTTCGTAACCGTAGATTCACTCGTGGAAGAGGAATCGTCGTCGTCTACCGAATCTGGGCTGAACTCCCAGCTTCCTCGCGAACTCTCTGTGATTACATGCACGATCGATAAACGCATAAAACGTGAGCCCGGACAAACCTGAGTGTCCAATAAAGTCCCACGAGCGCCTCGGTACAGAGCAATCTCTATTAATTGAGGCGAGAAATTGTTATCGATTCCTCGTCGTTGAGATTCAATTTATGCGCGAGGTGTCGCGCCGTTGTTTTAATTACGCCGGCGGAACAATGGCCGCGAGAATGCGCTTTCGTTAGCTGGATCAGCTAAGTAGGGCCGTGGCGTGGAATGTATCGAGCGATCCTCGGTCATAAAAACGGGAACAGGAAAGCGAAAGGCGAACAAACGTATAGGAATTGAGGATAGGAATTCGACTCGGCGGCGAAATGGACGAGGCGTTGTTAACACATGGCTGGTAACTCTCTCGTTCGACTGGCTATAAGCTATAAGCGGTTTCGCCTGCTACAGCGATCGTGAACACGCATACATCAGTAATAAAGCGAAGCAACTGTAAGCCCCTTAGGTAGACCGTGTGGCCCGGTATAACTGGAGATTAAGCCATCACAGAACGCTTACCATAAATTGATATTAAAGTTCTATTATAATGCGACGCGTTTCCGAGCTAAACGTCATGGCTGACTGTTTCGCCAATCACGTTCTTATCCTTCTGTCGTTCGCGAAGACGTGCAAATAAATTTGTAAAATGTTCACGCGTTCGCCGTTTCGGATGGCCGTCTCTTTATTGCTTCACTTGTTTGTTATTTACGCTACAATAACGAAATTATGGCGGTTTGAAAGAAAAATACATTAAAGTTGCGTGTCCGCCATTTTTGTAGTAATCGACGTAACAGTGACGTAGAGTTGGAGAATAATTTATATGAGTCGCTGTTTTTCTGAGTGGTGCAAGTCCATTTATTCGCACATTGAGTTATTTACCTGAAACTGATTGATTCTTTGGTTTTATAACGATGATATTAAATAATTAATTATATTATAATCCATTAATTTAAGAGAAACGAACCAATCACTTGAAACTTAAGAACAGAAAACCAACTGGAATGAGAAAATGGATGGAGTAATAACAATGTTATCTTATTTACGACACTGTGTTATTAACAGATTAGCTATTATTCGACTTCAAGGGCAGTAATAATTTATAATTAATGTGATTGGAAAGTTATTGATTATTGAAATAATTAGTGATTGATTGAAAATTATTGATTATTACGAAATTATTCCACTTTCAAAAAAGACATTCTTGCGATAATTATTATAATCTAATGTTATTATATGATATAATGTTGATATAAAAAAATATAGTATAATAAAAATAAAATATAATATAATGTTAATTTTTATAATATATATATATATATATATATATATATATATATATATAAAATATAAAATATATGTATAAAAATTAACATTATATTATATTTTATTTTATTATTATTATATATATAATGTTAATTTGTAAATATATATATATATCTTATAATATAATTGCGATTTGATAGGTAAACTTCATTTGATTAATTTATGAGGATATTGTACACCGTTGACTTTATTGGAACTATAAATATAAAAAGAACACATCTATGCCTCACTAAAACTATCATTAACTCATTTTTCTCCAAAAGTGGACTTGTATCACTTTTAAAACAAAAAAAAAAAAAAAATGATACATATATATACATGTAAAGTCAATAGCTACGTGCAAGAAATCGGCGCAAACCGGATATTCCTAGAAATTCTTCAAAGGTGCATTCGGATGTACAGTCGTTTAGCCAATTAAAAGCAACTCGTACGCGCGTAATATCAATGCGGTGCACGCGTAAGCTCAATCGTACAAAATTGTACAAAAATCGGCGGTGAGTGCAGAGGGGTGGTTAGCGAGGTCAGTCGGGCGTCCGTGTTCCAACAAAGGCGAGCAGAATTGTTTCCATTGGCCGAGGAAGAATTGATAAAGCCGGTATTCGCGCAGTCTCCCTGGTGGAAAGGGGCAATGGTCGGTATTTTTCCGTTGTCCTCGCTAAGCCAAGCTTGCATCGGCTTCCGAAAGAGATACAAGCGTAGATTACGTCGAATTGTCGTGGATTTTCGTATGATCGAGGATACGTCGTGGAATTACTGGTAGTCCGCCGGTTTTTCGCGGAGGAAAATGATCCCGCCCGGGTCTCTCGAGAAGCGCCCCCGTATTTCGTTCGAAACGATTACTTCCGCAGGAACAAAAGTTCGTTTCTAACGAATTTCACGATTTTAACCAATTATTCGGTTACTTTCGGTTATATGTTATTGTTATTAGCAAGATGTTATTTTCGAGTCGCCGCTTACCCCTGCGTAAATACGTGCGTGCTTGCTGGCAAAGTGAAGCGAAACCTTGGTATTCGCTAGTTTTCGTTTCGTTATTTCACCGTCGACTTTTACATCGGCACGCTCCCCCCTCGTAGATAT